GGAGGGGCTGCATTGGTGGCCCTGGCTGGCTGGGTCAGGTGAGCAGCCTCGGCCCATGTTCATGGGGCGGGCGGGATCTCCAGGCGGGCCAGGGCCGGGCACTCAAGGCCTCCATGCTGAGGGAGCCAGAGCCAAGGCCCCAGAGCATTTCCTGGGCTGCAGCTGGAGGCTTTCCCCTCTGTGCCCTTTTCTGGGGGCAGAGGGGCCGGTGCCGCCAGGCTGGGTGCTGGCGTAGGTCTCCCCAGCCAGGGCAGCGGGTAAGGCCAGTCCCCCTCTGGAGCTGGCGCTGCAGCTCCATGCATCTCTCCTGGGGGCATCCCGTGACTGAAAGCCCCACTGCGCAAGGGTGCCATCCCACCCTGGTCCTCTTTCTGTAGCTGCACAGAGCTCAGCCGGAGGGCGGGGGGCTGGATTCCCCGATCCCAGCCCTCTGCTCCGAGGAGCCCTGCACGGTGAGCAGCTGATGGGCGAATGTAACTGACCTTCCTCTCCCTGCACCCCGGGACCCCCCAGCTGCTGCCACGGTGCTGCCGCTGCTTCGGTGCAAGCCCACGCCCCGGCTGGGAGTGGTGCCTGTGTGCGCTAGGCTGCCCCAGGGCCTGGGCCCTGCTGCAGAAAGGCTCCGGCAGGTCAGCCGGGGGAGGGATCTCGGAACGAGCCTTGCCCCAGTTGGAGCTGGGCCCTGGCCGTTCCTGCAGCAGAAATGGGCCCGTGGGCTGTGCTCCGCCTGCTGCTCCGGCTGAATTTCAGTGCAAGCACGATCCTGCTCTCCCCGGCCAGGGCGTTCCCAGCCCCCTTCGCCGCGGCCGCGCTTGGCCTCCTCAGAGGGCTCGCGAGCCTCGCCGCAATGCTGCCTGGCTTAGCAAGCCCCCGGGACCCAGCCCAGGTCTCTGTGGTTCTCCAGCAGTTCCGCTGAGCTCACTGTTTATGTTGAGCATAGTGATCATGTCCCTGTGCCAGCAAAACATGAGACTCCCTGCACACAGGCTTAATGGTGATCGACAGGGTCCCCTGAGTTCATCTGAGGTGATGGGAACCCTGGATTGCTACGGCCCGGCTCCTTTCCTCTGTGGGGCCCAGATGCCAAACCAGCCACTGGCCTGAAGGGCAGCCGGGTTTTCCCTGCTTTTGGTTTAAAGAGCAGAGACTCCTGGCCCCCTTGAATTCTAGGTCACCTCCTTGCAGCCTCCTGCAAACTCTCCTCCCTCCCACCCCCGGGAAGATTTCTCGTTTGTTGTGCACTTCCTGTAGGAGCCAGCTGCTTGCAGCTTGCTGCTGTGTGGCTAGGAGGAGAATGAAGCCTTCCGTTGAAGTCAGAGCAAGCTTGAGAGAGAGCGTGTGTGTGACACAGACACTCATGCACACGCACACACATGCACGCACACACTCACACTCACACTCATCGTTTACTACCCACAGTTAGAAAAGACTCGGTCACGTTTCCAGATTAGCCCTGGCCAGGTAATTCCATGCACATGCTGGCGGCTGAGCCGCGAGTTCCCATCTGCGCATGCAGGTGTGATGCGTGCAGCTGCCGCTCTGTTGGGATACCTGCCCCGATGTGCAGTGCACCCCCCCAGATGCAGCAATAGAGCAGCCGAGGAATCGGCCCTGCACCTCACTGCTATTGCTCCAGTAAGCCCTGGGCGTTCAACTGTGCTCAGCGCTGACCACGGTGGCTGCCCTTTCGCGGGGCTGTTTCCTTAACCAGCTTGTCCAGCGGGGACCTGGAGGTCACAGTGGATTTCCTCACAGAGGTAGACAAGCTGGTGCAGCTCATCGAGTGTCCAATTTTCACGTGTAAGGATCATCCAGAGTCCGTCTGTTCTAGGAGTGTGTGCGTGCCCGGGGGGCTCCCGGCGCGTGTCCTGTTTGGATGCTGCGGCTCCGGGGCACGTCCCCTCCCTGCTCCTTCATCGCAAGTGGCAGCGCTGCACAAACAAATAGAGCAGAAGTGATGAGACTTGCTGTGAGCGTTGGGAGCCCTGCAGTAGCACTGCGCATGGAGGGAGGGCGCCAGATGTAGGTTACCAGGGCTAAGAGCATTGGCGCCGAGCACAGGGATAGGCAGTCCAGAGGGAACCTCCTCCAGCGGGGCGCTGGGATTGGCGCCTGTGGCTAGCGCAGGTAGTCAGCAGATGCCCGTCTCTGTGGGAATGCGGCGACTCGGAGAGGCTGGAAACGTTGAGGTGCAGCGGCAGCGTTCCTCCTGGGCTTGCCTGCTCTAGATGCACGTGGGGGTGCAGGGACTCGCGGGAGTGTGGGGTCATCTGAGCCAGGGGCTTGGCTGGGGCGCAGACCACAACTCTGATCACCCCCAACTGATCAGGTGGCTTTGGCTTGTGCCTGGGGGAAGCAGGGCACATTTGTATCCAAGAAGCTGTTTAGGGTTAAGCTGATGGATTCCAGGTTGGCACGGTGGCAGCTTGAGCCAGAGAATGAAGAGTTCATGCACAGCCAGTCTAGGGCTTCCGGAGGGGGTATTGCCATGGGAACTGTGTGGTTCCAGCTGATGTGCTGTGGTGAGTGAACCTTGAGCTGTCCCCACGCCCTGTGAGTTCAGGCAGCTGCGTCTTCCTTGCTGCCTGCCTGCTGCTCTGGGGCGTTTTGCTCAGAGGCCAGAATTCGGGGTTTGGGCCATACTTGAAGGGCTCTCAAATCCACATGCAGCCAGACCGAGCGGCGAAATGAGCCTTGGTCGGCGAGGGAGGGAGGGCGCTAGGACTTGCCTCCATCCTGATGAATGGAGCGGGGCGTGATCAGAGGAGAGCGAACAGCTGAGTGCCGAAGCTGGCAGCAAATGGCAGTGTTGTGGGCTAGGCCTTAGCAGAGCTAGGCTCCATCGCCGCTTGCCCGCCCTGTGCAGCTGTTCAGCGCAAAGGCTGCTGTCTCTGTATCCAGGCACCATCCACCTGGGTTCCCGTGTCGGGGGGTAAGGTCCTTGGGAGCCGTCCCTTCGCCTGTCTCCCCCCTTCCTTCTAAGAGCCCATGGCCCTCCCTGGCACGGTTCCCCTGGACACCGAAGGGCGTTCCTCACGAGTGGCCCCAGGCTGACGCACGGAGCAAGCGCCCAGCACGCCTGGCACCCGGGTCCGGCTCAGATGCTCCTGCCAGAGGCTGGCCGTGTGGGCGCTGTAGTGAGCCCTCAGCTGCCTCCTGGGAGGTTGTGGAGCGGCTCAGTTGCCTCCCAAGGCTGGGGTGCTCGACCCCATTGCTGCGGGCACTAAGCTGGATAAGGCAGGATTATTCCAGTCAGATGGCCGGCTCAGCCAGCAGATTCCTTCGGCCCCTCTGTGAGACCAGCCAGCAGAGGGCTGCTGACTTACCCGCCTGCCTTCTGCAGCCCTTGCTGCCCTTGCAGGTTCTCCGGCCACCTGCTTAACTTCCCAGCTGGGACGTGGCTGCAGGACACAGCATGTGCCGCAAGGTTCCTGCCTGCAGCAAACAGCTGTCAAAGGAGGCAGGGCCAGGGCTGAAATCCACGGCTGGGCTCCGGCTCGGCCCACTGCCCCCCTGCTTGGCCCTCGGCTGCTGGAGTCGTGAGCTTCCGCTGGAATCTCCGCTCTCCTTTGGCAACCGAGAGAGCTCGGAGCCCTGGAGTGGAAGAAAAGCCTGAACACGAGGCCTGAGCTGGGCGAGGACACCCGTCCCACAGGGCCTAGCCCCAGCCCTCCAGTGTGTGCAGCCTCCGTGCACTGAGCTGTCAGGCCCAGGATGGCCTTAATGTGAGCTGTGGGTCCCTCCCGGCCCCCTTGCCATGGCTGCCTCACCCTGCTCCTCCTGGAGCAGGGAATGGAGTCCCTCTCCGGGCTGCCCCTCCCTGGGGCGTTAGCTGGCCCATGGGGCAGCAGGATGGGAGGCTGCCCCCACGGCGAAGCTGCTGGCTGCCCTCATCCGAGTTCAGTGTCCTTGGGGCAGACACCTTTGCACTGCCAGGGTGGAACACGCCTCCCTGCAGGCTGGGCCAGTCTGGCAGGCCACCTGGATCCCTGGTGCCCCTGCCCCACCCGCGGGGCCAGGGTGTGGAATCCAGATTTCTGTCCTGCACAGTCCCCGTCCGCCCCAGCACCCAGCTCTTCCACGGGGGACTCCCCATTCAGTCGCTGGTCTCCTGCCGGGGCCCCTGGCTCCCCCCCCACACACACACACACAGTGTCTTTGTTCCCAAATCTTGCCGCATCCTAGCCTGTTGTCATGGAAATTTCTGTCATGCTACAAGTCCAGGACGCAGGGCTGGCACATGGGGGGGTCCCTTAGCTGGGCAGAGGAGCTGAGATGGGAAAGGTGGAAGGTTCCGGAAGCCCTCCCCACGGAGCAGGCAGTGCCGCAGCGGGTCAGCTCAGAGGTGTTGCGGGGAGCCTGCTCGCCTCAGGTGGGAAATAGGGAGAGGCTGGGCCCTGGCTGAGCGGACGGGACTCGCCGGCCCTCCCGCCAGCTCAGGCCCCTCGTGGGGTGCGGGGAAAGGAGTCGGGGCTTGTCATGGTCCTTTGCCAGGACGAGGACTAGCATAGCGGTGCTGCAGGGAGTCCTGGGCAAGCAGTGGAACCCGGGTCCCTGCCTGCATTCGGCTTTCGCCTCGGGCCCAGCTCTTCCTGCCTGCAGGGCCGGCCAGCGGCTGAGCCCGTTTGGATGCTGCTGAAAGAGCAGCGTCCGCTCAGGCATGTGGGCGCGCGCTGGGATCCGGCAGGGCAGGTGCCAGCTCATGCCAAGCTCCCCGTGGTGCAGCTGAGTGCTGATATGCGCAGCGGCGGCCGGATGGCTCGCCTGGTGGCCGTGGGGTTTGCATTCGGCATGTGCAGTGTTCGCTGCCTGCAGTAGCTTCCGTCTCCCAGCCATAGCCTGTACTGCAAGGCCCAGCGTGGGCATCTGCCCTGCAAGCCTGGGAGGGGCTCGCCTGACGGGAGAGGAAGGCAGCCCAGCAGTGCCAGGGGCAAGTGCGCAACCTTACCCAGGGCAAAAGGCTTTGCTGCCTGCGCTCCCCGAAGAACTCTCTCGCTGGACCCAGGGGGAGGGGAGGAACAGGGTAGGTGTGGGCTCTGCGTGGCGAGTGGTACCGGGAACGAGCAAGAGCGCCCCAGTGCCGAGCTGGCTCAGCCCTAAGGGACAGCCAGCACTGCACAGGGACGTGTGTGTCCACGCGGCCCTCTCCTGGCGGATACGCCTTCAGAGTCGGGACGTGTGTCTGTCCGCGCGGCCCTCTCCTGGCGGATACGCCTTCAGAGTCGGGACGTGTGTCTGTCCGCGCGGCCCTCTCCTGGCGGATACGCCTTCAGAGTCGGGACGTGTGTCTGTCCGCGCGGCCCTCTCCTGGCGGATACGCCTTCAGAGTCGGGACGTGTGTCTGTCCGCGCGGCCCTCTCCTGGCGGATACGCCTTCAGAGTCGGGACGTGTGTCTGTCCGCGCGGCCCTCTCCTGGCGGATACGCCTTCAGAGTCGGGACGTGTGTCTGTCCGCGCGGCCCTCTCCTGGCGGATACGCCTTCAGAGTCGGGACGTGTGTCTGTCTCTGGTTCAGGGCCGGCTGAGTGTTGTCTGTGGGAATTCTAAGGTGCGATTGAGCTGGAGCAAGTAGGATGTTGCTCTGCCCCAGCATAAGGGGCCATCTGTCCCAGAGGAGGGCTGGCAGAGATGCAGGACAGGTCGGTGTGCCACAGGGGCTGGCATAGCACATTGCCATCCCCGTGACAAGCCCTCCTAGTGTCACCTCCAGGGTAGCAAACTGCCCTTCTTGTCCCCCGAGCGGCTGCAGGTGGGGTGTGATGCTGAGTGTGTAGGTCTGTAGAGCAGGAAAGTGCTGGTTTTACCTGGGTACTTTGCACTGTAGAACTGCAACGGGTTGACTTGAGCCGCCCATCTGCAAGGTGGTGAAGGGATGTATGCAAGGGATGGCCGAGAAGCGGAATGACACCAGGAAACCATCTAATCTATGGGCATTGGCAGTGTTCCTTCTGCTTCCCGTCCATGTGCAGAATCAAGTTTGTTATATGCGCCACTGCATGTGCTAATGTGCACCACCAGTAGAAATAAACCCTTTGTTAAGGTTTGTTAATCATCTATTTAGCATCTGAATCTCTTCTGAGCAGTCGCACAAGTGCACAGCTTCCAGGGGACACTGGCCATGGGCAGGTTCTGAGCTGCAGGGCAGGGCTGGTTCCACGGGGGGTCTGTCCTACCCTGGGCTGCTTTGGAAATGGAGTTTGCCTGCCAGGGCGCAGCGTTTTGCCCTGTTCTGAGCCTGCCTTTCCAGGGCCAGGATCCAAATGCCACTTGGGCCTGAGAGGCCACCCCGTCCCCGTCCATGCAGGGCCACTGCAGCTGAAGCTGGGGACGGTGGCAGGGCGTGGACCGAAGCAGTGGCCTCCAGGGGTGCCACGGTGCCCGCCCAGGGGCCTAGTAGGAGGCATCCCGCCTGGGTGCGTGGCGGCCTGGCGGCTGGAACTGGGAGTGCCAATGCTCTGAGCAGCGTGGTGTTGAAGGGGATTCCTGCCCAGCAGCCCTGCGTGGTGGCAGCAGTGGCACGTCGAAGCTGGCGTTGGGGTGGAGAGTGACGGGCCCGGGTGCGCTTGCCGGCCTGGGGGCAGGTGGGCACGTGGCTCCCAGGGGCTGCTTTCGTGGGCTGACCAGGAAGCGCTAGGGGTGGCTCGTAAGGAAGGACCCAGCTCTCTCTGGAAGCCCTGGGGGGTGGCTTGGGGGTGCGACTGCCCGATGGAACAGCTGTTCTCACCTGTCTGTTCTGGCCACAGATCTGCGCCTGCAGCTGCTGGACGTGAAGAATAACCCCTACCTGATCAGGGCTCTCTACGGGCTGCTGATGCTGCTGCCTCAGAGCAGCGCCTTCCAGCTCCTCTCCCACCGCCTGCAGTGCGTGCCCAACCCCGAGCTCCTGCAGACCACGTGAGTGACACCAGCCATGGCTGGCCCCAGGGACAGGGCCTCCAGCCCTCTTCAGAGGCGCTCGGAGCCTCCCTGCCAGCAGCGTGTGCATTATACTCCAGGAAAGGGCACTGCCTGGCTGGGAGCCAACCCAGAGCTCTTAGCATGATGCGCCCCCAGCGTTCCAGCCCTGCCCGTGCTGAGCCCCTCGGCTCTGCTGTTCAGTGGCGCAGCATGGGCTGGGCCCGGGAAGATGGGCAGGATGTGGGCAGGCGCAAGGGCAGCCCTGGGGAGGGAGAGGAGTGTGTGCATTATACTCCAGGAAAGGGCACTGCCTGGCTGGGAGCCAACCCAGAGCTCTTAGCATGATGCGCCCCCAGCGTTCCAGCCCTGCCCGTGCTGAGCCCCTCGGCTCTGCTGTTCAGTGGCGCAGCATGGGCTGGGCCCGGGAAGATGGGCAGGATGTGGGCAGGCGCAAGGGCAGCCCTGGGGAGGGAGAGGAGTCGTGCGGGAGGGGCCTGAACCGTGCTCAGCTGATGGCTGGGGCGGGGTTATCTGCGTGCAGTATTTAGTGGAGCTGCCCTTCCCTTTGAGACAAAGCCGTGACCCGTAGGGGGTGGTGGGCAGAGACTTGTCTGCTTGCAGCAGCCTGCTGGCGCCCTGCCCTGCTGCAGCGGGTAGCTGGGGAGATGGGCAGAGGCATCTGACTCCTGCTGCAACTCCCCCTCCGGCAACATCCCGGAGATGCCAGGGTGCCTCTGCCTTCTGCAGCAGTCAAGGGCATCTGGCAGGCACTGAGACCTGGGGCTGGCGCGGGAGCTGCTTGG